CAGAAAATCAGCCAGTCAGTCAGTCAGCCACTAACTCAGTCGGTCAGTCAGTCAGTAAGTTAGTCAACCAGCCAGTCAGTCAGTCAACCAGTCACTCAATCGGGCAGTCAGTCAGTCAGCCAGTCAGTCAATCAGGCGGTCAGTCAATCAGCAGTCATTCAACCAGCCAGTCGGTCAATCAGCGAGTCAATCTATCAGTCAGTCAGTAAGTCAGCCAGTCAGTTAACAAGCCAATCAGTCAATCAGCCGGTCAGTCAATCAGCAGTCATTCAACCAGCCAGTCGGTCAATCAGCAAGTCAATCTATCAGTCAGTCAGTCAGTCAGTCAGTCAGTCAGTCAGTAAGTCAGTCAGTCAGTTAATTAATCAGTCAATCAGTCTCCCAGTCAGCCAGTCAATCAGTAAGTCAATTAGTCAATCAATTAGTCAGTCAGTCAGTCAGTCAGTCAGTCAGTTAGTCAGTCAGCCGGCCAGTCAGTCAATCAGTCACTTAATCAGTCAATCAGGCAGTTAATCACTTAATCAGTCAATCAGTTAATCAGTCAGTCGGTTAGTCAGTTAGTCATTTAGCCATCGAGCCTCGCAGTGACTCATGTAATCTATGAGTAAAATCACAATACCGCCACAATACACTTTATTTTTGTCGGCTGAAGCAGCTTGAAGAGTGGCGAACATTAGTGAATAAATATTCCGTTTTTTCTCATTATTCCCTAACTAGCGACTGAAATATTTCTGGGATGCATCCAGCTACATGGATTGGTCTATAAACCTGTTAGCCTTGGTTTACCTGATTTCCAAGAATCCTGGCTGTTTGTGTAAGACGCCTCTTCAGATGCATGCAGTAGCATTGGGTCTGTTTCTTGGTTGGCTCAACTTGGTGCTCTACCTCCGTAGGTCAGCGGTAGTATTTATAATAGATTGCTTATCTGGCAAAAGATAGGAGAAGATCGTGTGTAGTGCATGAAGATCATCAAAACTGAGCCAGTTTTTGTTTGTTTTCGCAATTAACGATCAGACACTGATTGGCTTTTTGACACAAGACATAAAGGATGAACAAAGCAAACTGAAATAACGTAGTAAACCTTGTCAGAAATGTTCATATCCCTTAATCGTATCAGTGACATCAATCATCTTGTATTAGGACCTGGAAGGTCTAAGGAGGCTCAAAAGCTGTTTATTGGGTCAAGGGGTTCTCTAATGGAGACAATTCAATAGACCTTACACACTCAGCCGTTTGCTGATCTTTAAAAAAAAATAATTGGACCACAAATATTCTATATGTAGATATTTTATTGAGATTAAAAGTAAGGTGAGAAAACAGTCAACTAAACAATATTAACGAATATTTTCCATGTTATTTTCTTTTTTCCTTTCAGACTGTCAACGTATGGTAGGTTTGTGGTTATGCTGATGACTATGATACAAACGTTACTCAAGGTAAACTGCAAAGTAGCGATTTTGGATTGAGGAATGTTACCTCTCATCAGAAATTTTAAGTCCAATTTGTAAAGTGATTTCTTAATATATTCCCTTTTTTTTTTTTAGGTTATCATTCTTTTTATTCTCTTTATTTTGGCGTTCGGAATTTCATTCTACATTCTCATGGGCAATGTACGTATATTTTAGTTCTTTTCTTTTCACTACACACTGCCTCGGCATTTTTATTTCAGGGTAAATTATTGAGAAAAGACAGGTACTGAGAATTCAAATGTAGAGGTTTTTATTACGTTTGTTCTAAAGGTCCTAATGGACACAAATCCTTAACTTCAAACCTTATGACTGCAAAGCTGTCGAAAACAGTCACCTAATAGCCGGCTTTTGAGGAGAAATCAAGCTACAAAACCATTTAATTTAAAATTAATACTTTCAAAGGAAACAATAAAAACTTACATAGGCAGCATTAGTCTTTGACGTATCTTGAAGAGCGAACTATTGGAAGATTTTGACTCGACTTACGTTGACATGCATTTATTGCGAACTTAGAAACTCAGTCGTTTCGACCATGTATACGGAAACTACAGAATCTTAAAAAGATTCATTGAATGTTCATTATTACCCGTATTAACAAAATCAAGACGACCACAATTGGACGTGCAAACTATTTGCGAGCGTCACGAGTTTGTTTGTTTGTTTGTTTGTTAGTTTGTTTTTGTTTTTTGTTTTTTGTAAACCAGGTTTACCTCCAGTCAATTCTTATAAGTAGCTTTCCATAAGTTATTAAGCCACACTATATCATTCTGGCTCATTAGTAAATATGTCTCCATCAAGCCATTATTTTCCTACCCGACTAATTTTCCTTATTCTTAATTTGTTTCCAGAATCAGAATTTATTTGGATCTCTTCCCAAATCGCTGATGAAGACTTTTATTATGACGCTTGGAGAGTTGAACTTTGAAGCTACCTACATCAACAAAGATGTAGACGTTCCATTCCTTAACTTTGGAATATTTATTCTTTTCGCGCTCGTTATGCCAATCATTCTGATGAACATGTTGGTATGGAACGGCAAACTTGTGTCCATGTTGTTCCTCAAAGTTTCTATACGACAGTACACGTATCAAGTTTAAAATTCTCTATACATTTTAGAAATAGACGAATAGGGTCCTTCCTTTCAGATAACATTTAACAGGTCACACACCCATTTTTAGAAAAAGGAAGTGTGAAATGAATCAGCTAAACATGTGAATTTAGTTACCCTGACGGAAGACATTACTACCTTTAAAATGCCTTCCGTGCAAACATACACCACAACTCGCCGTTTTTCTGATAAAAGCTTTTTGCGAAGTACTTAGGTTGTGACAAATATACATAGATATATGAATAAACACATAGCCCTCGCAGAGAATGAGCGGAAAATGTTCCATTATAAGACCACATAAATCTTGCAATAACGGATCCATGTATTGTGAACCTGTTACGAGTGAGAAATTCAAACTCTCTCCAGATCGGTCTTGCTGTGGGTGACATTGACAACATTCAGAAGAATGCTGTTATGGATCGTTACAGAGTTCAGGTACAAACTGTCTTGGTTCTTTTTTTATTTGTAATTAAGTGACAGACACAAATTCGTGATTTACTGAACAGATCAAAGGATGAAGAAATTAGTTTGGAAACGAAAGCCGATTTGAGTTCTGCTGTCGAAATAAAGCCTTTTGAATGATTGTGTTCGACCACAGAAGAAAAGGAAGTTTTAAATCTAGTTATGGAGGATATCAAGAAATCGAGGGCTTCAGGAATCGAAAGTAATTATGATACTCAGTGTTACCTTTAATTTTGCGAGTTATCAGTCTCAAAGATCGAAATCCAGGTGGGATCGTAACATTATATTTTCTTGAAAATTATCTAATCATGATATAACACAGCCATGAACTATAAAAATTGTCTTAATTTCAGGTCGCACTTCTTCTAGAGCTGGAAGAATCTCTTCCTAAATGGCTGTTACGCCGTCTGACCGTGAAAGAACACGCTGAGTATCCAAACCACCTAAAGACAATCTGGACAAAGGTGATAATGGCAATGTTCATTACCAGACTTGGAAGGCTATCGCTTTCAGATTATTAATCAATATCATAACTTATTAATTAGTTTAAGGAATTAAGGTATTTGTTTCAATGTCATAAGGATAGACTTGATGTTATTTTTAGATGTGGATGCTCTTCTGTGATTTGGGTCGAGTCCAGGGAAATGAATATGACCAGGGTAACCACGTGTCTGTGACTTTATCTCAGCTCAAAGATAAAGTTGATGAACAAGAAATCAGGTATGGTCAGTCTGTGGCTTTATTTCAGCTAGATGGTTAAGTTGGTGAACAAGGAACTAGGTTTGGTCGGTCTCTGGCCTTATGTGACTGAAAACATCAGGGATACCTTTTTTGTTCTTACCGCGTTTGACGTCATCTGTGATCTATTACTGAAAAGACCTGCAGCAACACGGAGTTTATTCGCTAAACTGAAACCACGTAAATGTAATCCTCGTACAATTTATCTCGAAGGCAAGCTTCTGTAATCATGGTTTATTTACCAAAAACTGATGTACCCAACTTAAGCCTAATGAAAGAATTCAGAATAAATAATTTTGCTTAGTTTAAACTGAAGTAAAATATAATTTACGTCGATGTGTTGTGTTTGTAAGTTACCGGCTTTATTCATGTCTTCCTTTCTCCTCTAATTCATTCATACATTTACTACCTTATTCAATTTTGTTCATTCATGCATTTATCTTTTAATGTGTATCTTGTCTATTAATTTCATTAAGATCAAAAGAGATGGAAAGAATTCTACATGAACATTTACAAGTTCTGAATGAAATGAACCGTCGGCTGAGAGGAAGCGAAGAAGGGACTGGGCGAAGAATCATGAACTGGTTCGGACTCCGGTGAATAATCACGGACTTGGCTGACGTTGCTGTCGAAAGGGTTAAGAGACAGACTTAAAGAGTTGCTACGACTTTTATTAAGAGAGATTAACATGAATTGGACCAACCGCTGCTCGGCAGTTATATAAAAAGTCTGATTTAGTTTTCAGTCACGATTTACCGCGTAAAACGTCCGCTATTACCAGGTTATTGCAGTTTGATTTGCACTTGATTTGCATCAAGAAGCTGAATCAATGAGTTTATAGTGACGTCATCAGCTCAAAAGGTTCATTTTCCAGTCTCTCTCTCTTTTTTTTGCTACTGATCAGATTATGAAATGGTACTCGACGGAATAAGTTGATTGGTTCTATGGGTGTTTTCAACTCCCTTTATTTTCTTGTAGAGGTGGGGGGAAGGGGGAAGGAGGGTGGGATGGGGCAGAAAGTGCTTTCTTTAGGAATTATTGTTAAAATATAAGGTATAATTAAAATACGGCACAAGAAAGGGCCGTTTAGGATGAAGCACAGACACATACCTCTTGCTATCGAGCTCAATACCGAATGTAGAGGATTCATAAACATAAAAGAAATCAAGCTAATGGAATTGAGCCAGAAGCTCCTGCGAAAAACGAATGGAAATTCCCTTATTAGAACTACTTGTGCTCGTCATTAGTTATGTTTAATGTTTCAGTGATTATATTGCCTTTCATCCCTGATTATCTATGGGTCTCAATTTTTTTATATCTCTGACCAAGTCTAAGTTGTAGCGTACTTTCAAGATTCATGAACATCCTCAACTGAATGTATACGCAATGATTCAACACAAAGTTCCTTAGGACATCAAACTGGTGTAAAATCAAATGTTGTCAAATTACTTCGGCGGCGTGAGCTAGCAAAGCCTGTAGACCTCTTTAAAGCTCTTTTGAAATCTTCTTTAAAGAAAGTATAAATAATCGGATTCACCACTGATGAACCAAATCGAAAAAACATAAGTAAAACTTGTACCCAGTGAGGCAGAGGAAGAACGTCAAGTTTCAAATCTTGCATCAAGCCGTGAAGAAAATACGGAAACCAACAAATTATGAAAGTTAAAATCATTATCCCAAATATAATGACTGCTTTGCCCTCCAGAGGGATCGCTTTTCTACGGTAAGCTCTAGTTTTGTAACTGTTCACTGCCTTAATAGAAATCAGTTGACGCCGCAAAACTAAGAAAATGCAGGTTAGAGCCACACCCATTATCAGCAAACTTGGCACAACTATTCCAAAAAACACAGATAAAGAATATTTAGTGTCTAATTTTTTAACAAAATCATTGCTTGGGCTGAAATCCAAAGGAATCCATGAAATTTGAATGAGCGAGGCTCCCAGCGAGAAAAACCAAAGGAATACAAGAACAGTGACCAGCCGAAACTTTGTGATAATGTACGGATAATGAATGGCGTGAATTATCATACAATATCTCTCGATAGTCACCAAAAGCAGATGCAATACGGTAGAGATGGATATAAACCTGGACGATAAGTCCATAGCGGTACATATCTTCATCTTTGTTACCGACTCAACCATCATATTGCACGATATCACCATGGGAACGGCAACTGAGCCAGCGAGCATGTCTGAAACAGCCAAACAGACCAGACAAAGGTTTGTTTTGGTTTTCAAAAACGTCTTTCTTTCATAGAGGACGATTACCGTGGAGTTAGCGAGGACAATCAGCAGCCCGACGAATGCCAAAAATATAAACACAGAAATATGTATCTGCGACAAATCATAAATATGAGTAGAAGATGTGTTAGACACAGTATTGTTCAAGCTCCCGGATGTTTGGTTTACTTGACTTCCACAAAGGCTGTTTGTCTGACACTAGCAAGGAAATCAACAAAGAGGAAATTTTAAAATTGAGAGAAATAACTACACGCGATTATTATTTCTTAGCCTCAAAATTACATCTCCGTAATTGTAACCCCTAAAAAAAACCTCCTAGGAGAGAAAGCGGAGACAAAAGTCGATGCAGAAGAGAACAAAAGTTCGATCCAACGGTTCAACAGTTACAACGGTTTGACAAAGTAAAACAAACAAAAGGTGCATTGTTTGCTCTTATGATCTACAGATATTGGACTTAGCGTCTTCATGGTTTTTAAATAAAATAGAAGAGGCTCGAAAAAAGATTTTTGAAAAAAACGGCGGTGACAAAAAATGAAAAATTGAAATAGAAGATGGAACATGTGAGAAAATAGTGCTATCAACTGAGAAAGGCGGACTGAGAGCAAAATCACATCCTTACCTTGTTGTTTCCTTCCATTTAAAACAGTTGTTCAGCACTGAACAAATGTTATTAGAAAATTTACTGATTTTCTCTTGCAGTCTACGGCACTCCGCCCTGATGAATCAAATAGGGAAACCTTTAAGAGACTGACCACACAAAAGAACGTTTGGTAGAAAATAAATGCTATGGGAGACGTTTGCGCCTGCAGATGTTTTTCACTTATAAGTTTCCGTATTTACTACTGAGATAAGAAGTTACGGAATATTTATTCCCGTCGACCCACTGTTTATCTTCTTGGTAAAGAATATAAGTGGTGGGCTGAAAGTCAATAACAACTCAGTTTATTTTTTAGTTTAAATAAACTCAGTTGGAGTTTGAATTTGAATGACTTCAGCATTTTGACCAAAAATAAGCAATTAATTCGAGAAATTCATTTTTGCTGGTTATTGTCTCCGCTTTGTAGGAGAGATGAAAGAGATAAAACAAAACATACATACGAACCAGCTGGCAATATTATTATGAAAGTCACGAAAAAAGGATTTCAACAATGAAAATTAATAATTTAAATGTAAATTTAATGCTCAATATTTTTTAAGATCTCAACCTAACCTTTTAGAGAGAGAAATGTTTTCAAAATGCTCTAATTTTAAGAGTACTTCATAATCAAAGTTTAAACAAGATAAACAGATCTTTTTTGAAATTCTTTATTTGAGCTTGAAAAAGAATATTTATTACCCTTTTTGCTTCTCTTTTCTTTCCATCTCTGGTAGTTCGATTTAAACTCTTCTAATTCATTCGTGTGAGTCTTATTCTAGTATATATATTGAACGGAGTATTTCGGTTTGTCATGAAATAATGAAAAAAAGATTAGAACACAGATGAGACCAAAATAGGGTAAGAAGATCAGTAACGCACTTTGCTGTACTTGTGATCAATTACTGAACAGACACTGGGCAACATGGAATTTATTTGTTAATTTCATTTCAATCAAGGACCAATGCCAAGCTTATCACAACTACAGTGAGTTCTTACAAACTCTTGTGACTATAATGTCAGTATGATTCACATCCCAAAATGGCTCAGTCGATTACAATGTCATATTTTGGCTTTAAACCTACTTAAGTCAGACGAGTTTGAACGCTTGGGGAAATTCGAGATCAAAAGGATGAGGCACGTAGCCAAAATAATCGACGATCATCACTTCGCTTAGTGTCACCAAAATATTAGTAACTGAACCATACTTAATTTTCTACACATTTGGACCCAGTTGTATAAAGGGCGGATAACGCTTTCCAACGGATAAATCGCTATCCAACGGATAAGTGAGAGCAGAACGTATAGCCTCAGAGTAGAGGAAGGTACTGCTCACAGCACAAAAAACCTCTTGCACTGGAAGGGATCTCCTTAAAAAATCAATGCACTGTATTTCTGCATTCATCCAAATATTTTGATGTGTTAATAAAGGACTGACTGTTGTTCTTAATCTTAAGTTACACTGACAATTTGGGATATGGAGAAGTCAAGCATCCTTTGTTGGAATAGTGAATTACTGACATCTGAATTCAGGGGGTTGGAAACAGGGGTGGGGTGGGGTGTGTTGTTTGTAGAATGGATGAACATCAAACAAGTGCAGAAATACAGAACACCTTTCTTACCAACAATTCTACTGGGTTTTTTAGGGCAATACAATTAAACAGTGAATCAGATATTTCAAATTAATATATTAAATGTGCTCCATGATGTGAGACAAGTGATGCAAATTACTAATGTCTGGGTTTCACTGCTTCAAGATATCTACACAGAGCATACAATGTATGCATTAGATAATAACACTGGGAATAATTCATTCCTAAAAAAACATAAATTATTCTCCAAATAATTATCAGACTGTAACCTTCTACACTTTGTTCAGTAATTCAGAGTTAGCTTCTTTAAAGTGTAAAAATTAATTGATCTGTTTATTTTCCCCTCTCAAATTGTTGAATTATTGTTCAAAGTAAATGTTCACTTGTTAAAAGTTACTTTTGTTTGCTGGTTTTTGTTGCCATTTTTACAACAAAGAGCCTGAGTCTAGGCAAGTTCACTACCACCAAACCTCCAGAAAGCAGACCCTCTCTATCCCCTGGAGGTTTTGCACCAGTAAGATGCAAGAGTTATATAGGCCAGAACTAAGTTTCTACCAACAGGAGTCTGTCATCCAAAATTGTGTGCTAGGAGATGTTCAACTGTATCTCAAAAAGAGATTCTTACAGATAGAACCTTTACCACTGACCCCAAACATTAGCTACAATGCCTCTATGTTCTTAAGAATTAGTCTCCATATAACTGACACTGGATATTTGAAGCTGCTGGAATTTTTCTATGTGACAACCTATTTTACGAGATAGAATACAGTTATAAGATGAAAAGACTTTCTCAGCTCTCTAAAAGAACAAACTCAGAGAAATTCAGTATAATATACAACTAATAAATTATCGCTATCCACACACCAATCCAACCACAAGTTCGATGGCCTGTTCTATTCCAATAATAGGCATCACTTTGTGAAACTGTTTTGGAACACTTCTAAGCAAAGAATATTTGTCCCTTTGGTCAGTGTGTTTCATTGGTGCTGAGGCATGGATCTGAATATCTGATGTGACATGTCCAGATTCACCAATAACAAGTCTCCACCATATTGTAAAAACAAGTCCAGGTTTGTTCCTGTTGTACAGTTTCATAAACTGACTTGCAGTGGATGTATTTGTCAAGTGTACAATTTCAGGGTACTTCATTTTAAAATGACCAAATGTCCTTTGCCTATTGCTGTGCCCTTCAGCATACTGAATAAGTCCAAAAAAAAATGGCTGCAAAGACTTGTCCTCTTGCACTTTTTCAAGAAATTGAGCAAGTTCCTGTTCTGCTAGATGATCTGTGACACTAACTTGGAGTCTGGTTAATTCAACAACCCTGTGTTCCATACACTCAGCATCTTTGGATTAAAAAAAGATATTAAAATTACAACTATAGTATGGAGCAAAGACAATCAAATTTGTATTAATCCTAAATTTATACAGTGAGGACAAATAATTTGAGAATATTTATCAAAGAACCTCAATTTTGACTGAGTTCTTCCTTTTCAGGACCAACATCAATTGTACAGTCATTGCCTATAACTAATAAGTATGGTCAAAAGCTTTTCTCAGCCATTTACTATTCAAGTCAGTTTGATTTTAATGTTCCTTTATCTTTTGGAAAATTATTAAAAAGGGAAACAGATAAAAATAAAAATCAAACTGGTTTAAAAAATTAGACACCAAAAAGACTTTGAACCACAACAAATCATACTGCTCAGGGTTCAAACTATTATCTTGCAGTGTCCTCATCAAGTTAAGGTTTATGCTGTCTTCCAAGAATACTGCTTACGACGGACAAATAATTTTGGTTTAATTTTTCCTACGTGGAATATTCCCTTTATCTCAAACTCTTATTTTACATTTTTGAACACAAAGAAAATAGAACCGATTGTAAGGTAAAATTTAACCACAACATGCACGATTGACTCAATTTTACCTTTTGAGCTCAGCAGACTATTCACATTTTCCTCTTCTTTAACTTCGAATTCCACTGCAAAGGGAATTCTAAGACAAGTTCCTAACATTCTCCGAAGTAAAACCATTGTGGCTTCTGTCTTTGAAAGCATCTCGGTGCTATTTTCAATAAATATTAAACCTGTCAACTTTTCCAAAGAACGAAGTCTCTCGTTTATTACATCAATTTCTTTTTCTTTTCCGTCAGTGTTATTTTCTTTGGATGAAGAAGGCAAGTCAGCATTCAAGAGTTTTGTTTCGATCATTGCCAGAGATTCCAGTGTGTAGGTATCTGCACATAAAGAATCTCTTTTAAATATTTCCTCCTCTAGATGGTGAATCTCATCACTAAGACTAGAAATATCTTGAAGAGTAAGTTCTCTTGATTCTGCCTTTTTCTTGTATTTCTTATTCGAAAGATCGTTATTAGCAACACATTTCCTCCTCTTGCGTTGATTCCATTCATGTTCAAACGCCATCATGAAATTATGGCGCCAAATGACAAAGTGAAACGAGGCTTCTTTTCTAAAGCCAACCGCAGGTTGTATCCTTCGAAGGCTCAATACTGGGAAAGATGTTGAAGAATACTGGGTAAGTTTTGCTCCACGTAAAAAAACTTGCTAATCTGCCTTCGTTAGATCGGACGATTTCCTGTTTTGATTTTTTTTTCTGTTCATTATGATATCTGTACTGTCTTCATCCTACATTTGGCAGAAAATTAGCTGGTAAAACATTATTTATCACCGGCGCGAGCCGTGGCATTGGAAAAGCCATTGCGCTGAAGGCAGCTCAAGATGGAGCAAACATTGTTATCGCCGCTAAAACCACCGAACCTCATCCAATACTACCTGGAACGATATACACTGCAGCAAAAGAAGGTGATCCTTTTTTTTTCGTTGTTGCTGCAAGACTGTAATTTTTATCTGAGACAATCGTGACAGAATTAATGAAATGCGTGACTTCAAGTGGCGTGATACAAACAGATGTCACGATCATAATTTTGCAGATGTCTGGCTCCTTGATTTTGTATGTACTCAATAAAATACGCATTACTTCCTCGAACTGTAGCCGTGGTGACATTATTTCAGTGCTGATTTCTAAGATCATTTTTGATAAACCCTTAAAAAAGTTTTCATGATATTGCCGTTTTCATGATTCTTGCTGCAGTTGAAGAGGCAGGAGGAAAGTGCCTTCCCTGTGCAGTAGATATTCGTGATGAAAACGCCGTTAACAGTGCAGTACAAGAGGCTGTAAAGACATTTGGTGGGATTGACATACTTGTTAACAATGCTAGTGCAATAAGCTTGACAGGGACTTTGGAAACACCAATGAAAAAGTGAGGCCTTGTTCAATTTACAAGTATTTCCATCGCAAATTTTCTTAAATTTTGGTTTACGAGAAATAGCTTTTGGAGATTTAAGTTCATGTTAATGATACTCGGAAAGTAGTCTATTTTTATTGAATGGACACTCGTTAACTACCATTTTGAAAGTTTTTTCTTAGTTTTTTTCCACTTGTGACCAATCCTATGTAACCAACTCTCTATAGATATGATCTGATGAATAATGTCAATGTAAGAGGGACATTCTTGTGGTAAGTATTGACAAGTTAAACACTTCATTTAAATCAGTTTTCTTGTCACTGACTTTTGATGTACATCAAGGCCAAAACGTTTTGCTGAAAAAAACTCTAAAAATGTTGTTGCATTTATTTTGTTAGTTCCAAAGCATGCATTTCATATTTAAAGAATGCAGAGAATCCTCACATTTTAAATGTGACACCACCTTTAAATATCAGACATGCCTGGTTCAAAGAACATGTTGGTAAGAATTTGCAATTGTGTGTTTTCTAATTTATTTTGCTGACATATTTAAGCTTGAAGGTCTTTCTTGCTTCTCCAAAAATATTGGGTTTGACTAAAAAAGTAGACAGCATTTTTGTTGGTTTGTTTGTTTTTGGTAGCAAGCTGCACCATTGAACTGAACTGTATCATCTTCAGCCATATGGTGCAAACTGTGTCAGCTCTAACATAATTAACCACCTTCATTTAAGAAGGAATTTAAACCAGAGGTTTCAATCCATTGCCCGGTTTGAAATCTTTGAAATCTTGGTGATAACTCTCTCCTGTGGATAACCCATCCTAACATCAGACCCAAAAAACTTCCACACCACACCTAACACAAGTGTCTGGAGAACAGCATTTTGTGTTGCAGGTGGGAACAGCAACAACTGTTGTTTGATGTTACCTTAGGTAATCTGATGGCTGGTCTCATGAGATGGAAGGCTTGTTATCCAAACAATGGATATTTCTTTTATGATTTGTTTCTTTATCTACCATTACTTATTCACAATTATTTTAAGGCTACTATTTGTATTGTAAAATTCTTTCTGAATTTATCTTTGTTGTAGTTATGATACTCCATGAATGATTTTTTATAGCATATTCATTATCTAAGTATGGAATGTCATTATGTGTCCTTGGGATGTCTCAAGAATTCAAGGATGATGGGATTGCAGTAAATGCACTGTGGCCTAAAAAAGGTTTGATTATCTGATTTTACTGTTCAGTTCCTTGTCTGAAATGTTAAAGTGCACACATTAAAATGTACCCTCAAAAGAAAATATTTAGCTTACAGCTGTAAGTCAGTACACCTGAGTATTACTACCAAAAAAATTAAAGGTTACTCCATTAAACAGGTATTGCCACTGTTGCTGTCATGGTTACTGCAGGGAAACAAGGCTTAGCCTACTGTCGAATAGACAAGTTTTTTGCTGATGCTGCATATATCATGTTGACAAGAGACAGTAAAACAAGGACAGGAGAGTTTCTTTATGATGAAGATGTTCTTAAGGAGGCAGGAATCACTGACTTTGAACAGTATTCTTATATTCCAGGTAACCTCATGAATTTCTGTTAAAATCTTAACCTCCCTCTTGTGTGCAGTTAATATCTTGAGAAGCCATATCCTCATGGTGAGCTCTCTGAATGACAGATAAACCGGTCTTTGTCATAGTCTCAGGGTCATTGTGTTGTGTTTTTGGGTCAGAACTCTTTGCAAGCCTCTCTCCACTCAGGACCATAGAAAGGGATCAGCATACAGTCAGTCAAACCTGACAAAGAGAAGGGGTGGGTGGAGTGTGCTACAATGGACTTTCATCCTGTTCAGATGACATCATTGGTTGATTCTATGAAAAGTATTGGTCAATAACATTCCTTACTCTCTTTACAGCTGGTGCACCAGTGCCAGACAGTTTTATTGATGGTTATTCTCCCACACTGCAAAGAAACTCCTCCAAGGATACCAGGGAAACTTCCTCTCACAGGAGTCAAGTGAGAGGGGTAGTAGACATTTTTGATGCTGTTAAAAATTTTTTGGATGAAAAGCTTGTTCAGAAAGTGAATGCAGTCTTTGAGTTTCATTTAACAGGAAAGGAAGCTGGAGTGTGGTATCTTGATCTTAAGAGCAGTACAGGTAAACACTTGAATTTACTCCATTGTGTTTAATGAAAGAAGGGACTGGGCAGGTGACAAAAAAATTGCTTCTGAAAAAAAAACAGTTTTGAAAATAAGAGTTAACAAGTTATGTTGAAAGAATGAAGTGATAAACCAACAAAAGGAAGTAAAGAAATGAATGAGTGAGACAGTTTACAAACAAACAAGAAAATTCTCAAACAGATGTAAAAAAAAAAAAACTAGGGAGTAATGAAGGATACTTTAGTTAAATGATCAAACAAGAGTAACTCATGGGTTTATTCTCTGACCACCAAATTATGCAAAATGACAAAACCTTAGTACAGGTGATTACCTATCACCTACAAGGCAGACAAGTTCTGACAACTGAGAGTTGATGGTTCAACAAGATCTGGATAAAAGCTGACTCCTTTTTTAATCTATTTCCTTGAGTTTTATAGGAAGCAGAAACAAAAGCAAAAATTTGCTCTTCCAGTCTAATTCTTATTTACTCATTCTTTGTTTTCCATTAATAGGTGAGGTTGGAAGAGGTTCTTTTTCAGGAGATGAGGTGAACAGTACAGTAATGTTAGACTCAGAGGATTTTGTGAAGTTGTTCACTGGCGAACTTAATCCAGCACAAGCGTATTTGGGAGGAAAACTCCAGCTTACAGGAAGCATGCATAAATTTATGAAACTTGAGAATCAGCTCCTACAAAAGATGAAATCCAAATTATGAACGTTACTCTTTTTGAGAAGAATTTAGTCTTGTTCAAAGTAAAAATAATAATAATAATAGTAATTATATTGATTGTTATCATCACCACTATTATTATTATTATTTGGTGTTAGTATTGGTATCATCATTACTGTTAAATTGTGTTTATAGAATTAAGGACTTTTTTCTAGAGATGAAGAGGAACATATTTAAATATTTTCTTGAGGAGTAACTCATAGTTAATAAGCTGCATTAAGGAGAGAGGAAAGTAATGAATGAAAGCAATCTTTGCAGTGATGAACACTACTGAATGAACTACGACCTGCACAGGCCTTGAATTTTTTTCATGCCCTATTTTCACCACCACTTAAGTAATGTTTATTACTGCAAAGATTGCTTCCATTCATTTCTTCATTAAACCACAGTTCACATGTATGAGTTTCCTATATATTCACAGAGGAAAGTAAGTAAGGAAGGAATTGTCACATTACCAATCACCAAAGTTTCTGGCAGAAATCTTTATCTAAAAGTTTCATATAAGGGTACAGGGTGTTTTCATCTAAGGTTACCCCAAACTGTATATTTGAAATCCTGAACAAAGTAAATACATTTTAATCAAGTACATCTAAAGATACTGGGTAATTTTGTCTACAGTAAAGTGAGATATGTAGGTAAAAATGAAATGGTTATGACACAGTTACATTGCTGTTGTTTGTGTTACTCATTCATTCTTCCATCGTTCGGATCAAAGTGTACATATTCAGAGTTCTTTTTACCAGATGTCATGTTGCTTTTGTCAGTATTTGTAATATTGTCCTGTGGTATTACCTTCAATACTTGATCAAATAAACAGACATAAATTGTGTAGATATTCAGTATTTTGATATTTTCTTGGAAAGCTAGGAGTGACCTAAAATGTGGCCGAGAAAACATCCTTCCCCTTTCCTATGGATATCCGGGTTTTTAAATGCATTTCAACAGAAAACAGATAACATTGTTTCTAGTATTGAAATTTCTGACTTGTTCCTGATAATTCAATGTCCGATTGATTGATTACGTCACCGACACAGGTCTTGAGTTATTTTTGGAAAAAGTTTGTTTTTAACTCGTGACTTTTTGATTGACAGATTAATCATCGCCAGGGAGTCTGAGTTTGTGACTGGAAAGATGATGAAACAACTACAGTTCAGAGTTGCTCATGTGTTTATAGAGCCAACAATTAATAGTTCTGTCCTCTCTGTTTTTCAGTTTGTCAATCCATACTTAAGATAACTCACTTCACCTAGTAACACCCTGAACATCATCCTTCACTATTACAATGGATATCAATGGTGATCGATCGCTCTGTTCTAACGTGAGAATCAACCCCTATCTTTACATTCACTTACGCGCTGACCAACAGTATTGTGGACTCCTCTCGTGGTGTTGTATTTAGCAGAAAAATGTTGAACACAGGGTAGAGTTTTGTCTATTTTCAGTCTTTCTTCCAACTCTTTAGGAAAATCAGCTAAAGTTTCTGTTTTATAACCAAAGTATCTTTAAAATCGATTTCCCTTTAGGAAACTAGCCGGTAAAACTATATTTATTACCGGTGCCAGCCGTGGAATTGGAAAAGCCATTGCGCTGAAAGCGGCCAAAGATGGAGCAAACATTGTAATCGCCGCTAAAACTACCGAACCTCATCCAAAACTGCCTGGAACGATATACACTGCAGCAAAAGAAGGTAAAGTCAAATATATTTGCCTTGTTCATTTACACATGGGGGTTCGCGTGCCTCGAAGGCATTGTTTGAAACGCACAGAAGTGAGGATGCAGGCATATTTGCCACACTACATGCAGCCCCTGGTAGTAATTTGTGAACGGCTTGGCTCAGGTTTTACCTTTTTTGATTGTATTTTCTCCTCTTTAAGCTTCAAAAGGTAAAATTATCTTTAAGTTTGGATCTTCAAATCAAGCAACAACTGAATTGTTAACAACACCCTAAGCCCCCCCCCATCCCCTCTCCTCCCCCACTGGGCAACGACCCAAGCCAACTGGTGTAACAGTTATTGTGTTGATGTATTTAATTACAGTCGAAGAGGCAGGAGGAAAGTGCCTTCCCTGTGCAGTGGATATTCGTGATGAAAATGCGGTCAATAGTGCAGTACAAGAAGCTGTAAAGACATTTGGTGGTATTGACATACTTGTTAACAATGCTAGTGCAATAAGCTTGACAGGGACTTTGGAAACACCAATGAAAAAGTGAGAGCATCTTTTATTTTTAAAAAAGCATTGGAGCATGAAAGATATTACTGCTTCATAAAATAAATGGATTTTATGGTCAGCTCATGGCCATCTTACGCCCTTTGCCGCTGTAGACTATGGTTTTAAGGTGTTGAACTTTTTGGCTCTTACTTGGTATAGAAGACACAGTTTAAATCACACTATTGTTTTCATTGTTTTCTTGTTCCCAGTTGTGATGGAATTCTATGGTGTCTTATACACCAAGTAAGAGCCAAGTTTTTGTGTTTAAACTTTTTAGAGTCTGTCATGAGTGGTTCCAATTTCCAAACCCAAGGAATGAATAATACTACCTCTACTCTCAGTAAAATTTTTTGGTAACAAAGAAGTATTATTATGAAAATCAATCTTAAAATCATTTGGAGGAAAAATATTTATTTTTATGAAATGTTTATCACACCTTTCTACAGGTATGATCTTATGAACAGCATTAATGCACGGGGGACATATCTGTGGTGAGTCTCTCCAGTTAGCATATATCAACTTTCATGGTTATTGAACATACTTCCATCTATTGTTGTATATTTTACAATTTGTTGGTTAAATTTTTTTAAAGTTGACTCAAATTTAAAATTTCTTTGTTCAGAAATTAGAATAGAAGAAAAATTCATTTCAATTTATAATATTTTTGATTCTACCTCTGAGCATTTCCAAATTCTTTTAAGTCATGAAAGGTTCTGAAGTAAAACTTCATTCAATATTCAATGTCATATATCATGAATAAATGTGGTAATTACATTCCTTTATTTCTTTTCTTTTTGAAATTTACCAGTGTGTCTTTACCTTTGAGCTTATCTGCTTTTTTGTATATACATAGAGATATTGATACATATATCTACAAGTTTTGAATTGGAACAGTTATTTCCAATGTCATGGGTTATTTTATTTTCTTAGAGCTTAGACACCTTGTAAATATGTTCCAATACTTGTTATTATTATCCGATTACACCTTTAATTTTTTATCATTTGGAATGTGTTGACAGCTCTCAAGCCTGTCTACCATATCTAAAGATTGGAAAGAATTCACACATCTTAAACATCAGTCCCCCTCTGAACATGAATCCTCATTGGTTCAAAGGTCATGTAGGTTAGTTCACAATTTATCTCCCACTATCAAGTTGCTTACACTTTTACACAGCACACCAACTTTGTAATAAATTGAATTAGAGAGACTTTCTTGCCTAATTATATTTTGGAACACCATCCAGATGATGATCACTGTGGTCAGATCTGACTTGTTTCTTATACCTTCATTCAAAAAGGAATTTGAACCAGAGTTAACAAACTGTGGTTTGAAATCTTGGTGGTTACCCCTCTTCTGTGGGTACTCATTGTAAACTCAGACCTAGAAAAACTTCCATCTTACACTCACGACAAGTGTCATGAGAACAGACACTTTGTAATACAGGTGGAGACAAATGTCTTGACTGATGCAGTCTTTAGTAATCTGATGGTTGGTGTTGGTTGAACAAAATAAAACAGCAAGTAACAAGTAATAACATACTTCTAAAAAGTACAAGCAATTTACCAGGTGCTTTATCTTTTAACAAGATATGTGCCAATAATTGTAACTAACCTTTTAACATATACCTTTTGGGCTGAACTCTACCATAAGGAATTAATTTTTCATTGGACATAAATAATTTTGTGAATATGAAACTGATCTTTGCAGTAATAAACATTACTTGAGCAGTAGTGAAAATAAGGCCTGAAAAAAATCAGGAAAAAAAATTTAGACCTGTAATAATTTTATTTGTTTAGATTAAATTGATATATTTAGTGCTTGTGGAATTTGGTGATTTTTCATTTTGATTCCTTAGCTGCTATCTGTTTTGTTCTAAGCTTATACAATGGCTAAATATGGCATGTCCATGTGTGTCCTGGGCATGGCACAAGAATTCAAGGATGATGGGATTTCAGTTAATGCACTGTGGCCTAAAACAGGTAAACACAAAACTACAAACCTAACTTGATCAATTTTTCATTAAAAATTATTTCTCAAGAGAGGCTTTCAGAGCCATCATGACATACAGTAACTACAGTGTAACAAAACATAACACTCATTTCATTGCTTTCTGAAAGTTGTATTTTTATTTCAGAATTTATTTTTTGTTATACTGTATGTTCTTCTGCTTAAAGAAGTATTCCCTTGATTCATTAGCTATAGCTACAGCTGCTATGGAGATGCTGGGTGGTAAAGAAGCTCTTGCTTCCTGTCGCACTGATCAGATCATGGCTGATGCTGCCTATGTTGTCCTAACAAGGGATAGTCGAGCCAGGACTGGAGAGTTTCTTGTTGATGAAGATGTACTCATAGAAGTGGGAGTCACAGATTTTGAACCTTATGCCTGTGTGCCAGGTAAGAGTAGTTGAGATGACAGGGTTACTGGATTTAGGTTGGGTAGTGGGAAAGATAAACGTAAAGAAAGGAGGGATGTTTACTTTGAAGAATTTTCCTGAACCATGTTTACTGACTAATTGGTTTGATGCTTTGTGTTCTTAATACAATAGTGGAAAGTAACCCACTTATTTGATTTGAAGGGAAGACAAAGATAGAGTAAGGCAGCCATAAGCTAAAAGATAGGGAAAAATCGGCCGTAAAGTCGTTTTGAAATCGTCATGCGACTTGAGGTTCATAGGTAGACGATTTCTTTTTATATCGTGTCACGCAATACACCCTAGTCTTGCTTGTGTGACTATTACCCTCCTTTCATCACATTTACAGGAAGCAAACTGTTACCGGACTTCTTCTTGGACGTTGATGGTTCGGATGCTAAAAAAGTTATGGAGGCTCAGAAGACCGCAGATACTGTTCCACAAGGAAATAGTGCGGAAGGAGTGGATGGAATTTTCGATATCATAAAGAGCTTATGTAACAAACAACTTGTTAATGAAGTGAGGGGAGTGTTCGAGTTTCATTTAACAGGAAAAGACGAAGGAGTGTGGTATATTGATCTCCAAAATGATGCAGGTAAACAACCCTGAAGAAAAGATGGTTCGACCAAAGTTCGGACAATAATATGTGATATTTTATGAGGAAGGCACTTTTCGTGCGAATGCAAATATCGAGGGGCTCGCCGGGAACGTCACGCCATATTGGTCTTCTCCCCATATTTGTTTGATCATGCTGCTCTTCAGAAAACGCTATTTTTCTCGGAGAAAACATTCAACGCCCCTAGTTTGCGGAAGTGAAGCAAATTTCTTCCGTATTCATGTCAGAATTCTACGTTCTTTTCGACGCGCTTGATTTTGTTTTAATTCGAAAAAAACATGAAATCCTCTCTAACTCTTGTTCTTACTTTTTTTGCCCTTTTTTTTAAGGGTCCCATTATTTTCCTCGGTAATCTTAATGTATCTATGGAAAGATCAATACTGTTCTTTACTGTTCCTTTATTTGTTATCTTGCTTATTCCACGGCAAGGTTCAGACATCGTTAACCTCGTCTCCAGGATCTCTCACCGGAGCAAGCGAGGGATTGAAAGAGAGACCCTGGTTACGAGGTAAATGCTACTTTTATCATTTATCCACAGGATCTGCTGGTAAAGGATCTTATCCAGGAGGTAAAGCAAACTGTACAATGACCCTAGGCTCGGACGATTTTGTTAAGATGTTTAAGGGTCAGATGAATCCAACTCAGGCGTTCATGGGAGGAAAACTGAAAATTAAGGGAGACATGATGATGGCAATGAAATTTGAAAAGATGATGGGAGCGATGAAATCCAAGCTCTAACAAGAAACGCAGTTGATTGAATGACTTGAGTAACATAAAGTGATTACTGATGTAACGAGCGTAAGCGATTCGAGAAAAGATATTAATTTTCTATGAGATTCAGGTTCGGACACAATTAGGTCATTCGATGGTTTTATTGTTACAAATAATTCTGACACTTCCTACAACAAAGTTGTTCTTTTAGTTAAAGTCTTTTGCTTGTATTCATTTCTAATCTAGACTTTATTTAAGAGCTCGTTTCACTCGAAGAGGAATTTGAACCATGTGATTACTACAAAGATTGTTCCGTGAACTAGCTGTAGAGAGTTTGAAGAAATACTCTTTTTAAAAAGAAAAAGGAATGCCTTCCATTTGACCAGTAATATTTTCTAGCTATCCCCTAGAGACTCCAAACACAAGGGAAAATAAAATTTGTAAAAAATAAAGTGATACGCGAACTGTTCTCAACCGACATAATTTTTTGGTCAAGATACCACGACGTTTTACCGAGTGATGAGAGAAAACAAAACAAAACATACAAAATAAAGAAACAGCTAGGAAGCTTTTATAATGAGGCTCGATTTCACGCTACTTTTTGAAAAATGGAGATCGAAGACTGGACTTAAGGGGAAAAAACGGCGGAAATCGAGCCCAAACTGATTCTGTAGGAGGGTCGATGTTTAAATATTTGTGATGGCGGCTGGAGTGATTGTTGGATCGGATGCATGGTCATTATTATCTTATTTCTGAACTTAGTATTCTTTTCAACTGCATCATGCTTAGCTCGAGTGACTCAAATTCACGGATGTTAGATGGATTAATTTGCAATAAGAAAATATAGTCATGGAGATCAAGAAATTGTTTTATTCACACTCTCTAGGTTCTATTCAACTTTAAAAATCGACTAAAAATCAAATTGTTTCAAAAGCACACGCAGAGTGTGAATTCTGGCCTCAAACATGTGTCGTTGCAGGCAAATGCGGGGGAAACTATCATATGCAAATGAGAAAAAATGATCGTCGGAGATCGACTCCCTTAAGGAGTTATTTGAAAGTGGGCTGAACAATTTTCACATACGAGGGCTACATAATTAACACATCAGACAAGCTAATACCACAAAGTACTTTTAAATAATTGACCTCTACCAAACAGAAGGACAGAGCTGCATTTACGGAATCTTCGCTTGTAACCTTTAAGGATAACTTGGTGCTAAAACTAGAGCAGTTTTATACACGTACATAGAATTCTGAGTGAAAATAAAATATGATTTCTACCCTCTCCTCACCCTCCCCCCTCCCCCTTTGTTATTTTCAAACGACAGTTCCCCCATCCCTGGTGGTAAATTCCCTGCCATATTAAAAGCCTGTCATTAAATTTAGCAATGTCAATTCTAATTGGTAAAGCTGAGTGAATGGGTTCCATCCGGCAATCAGAAGCGGTCGTGGTAAATAGAGTAAGTCAAGTCTTCTCTGAAGGAAGCTGTTGAATGAATCGTATCCACAGTCGGGTTTGTGATGTAAGTGGTTGGGACTTAACCCTGGACAGTTTGTTTGATGTCCTCTCTCAAGTAAAGTGTATATCAGTTTAGGTTCGTCTGTCTTCTTTGTCAAATGTTGCACTCGTGGAACCACGCTTCGAAAAATAAATTTGCATCAAAGAGCTCTTGGGTGTCTGGTACATTCGTCAGCAGCCACAATTAACCCAGCAAAAGCGCACGCCATGATTATAAGTCCAACAATAACTGATACAAAAGAGGCCATTTTACATGAAATCTGGGTACACTGAGGATTCAAATGAGTGGAGAGGGAATCTTGCAACCACAAAAAACTCGTAAAAGCAGTGAGCATTGACAAATTCCCTTTAAAGATATCGTGTTGGGTTTCATGAGGAGAATATCACAGATTCCCTGACAAATTTTTCGAAGCGTGACCTCATAAGCCAATTATGTTCAATTAGGCCAAACACCAGTAATGGAAAGTTTAGCAGGTACCAGTCTACGCTCAGTTTCGCCCGCGGCAATAAAAAGCGACTCCGGTTAAACTTAATGGAAGGTCTCCATAATTTTAGCGTAATCATTTTCCTTGGAACACGGGAGATGAAATTCTGTTGTAACACACTATGATCAGCAAATGACCGAGACATGATCTGCGTATTCTGCAATATTTCGTTGCACGAGATCGTTTTGTAGACGTAATTAAGTGTTGCAATTATCACCTATTAGGACAATTTTTTTTCACAGTTACTGTTCCAGATGAGTAGTTCGGTTTGTGTACTTTTCGTTAACTTTAAATACCGCTTTTAAATTTTATGGATTTGGGTTTCGAAATTGTGATGGTCTACTGTGAATTTTTCATCATTTCAATGCAGTAAAATGTTGACTTTTGGACGCTTTTCCCGATAAAAATTTAAGACTTCATGTTGTCAAGTAAAATATTCAAGATCCCAACCAAATACAGGTTACTGATTGCTTTTAAATGCATACTTAGTTAGTAAGCTGGTTGGCACTGGAAGGTGATATTGTTGCCAAGAGACGTGTATCTTAATTCAACAGGTAGTTAATAACGTAACATAGTCGAATACTCCCCACTGAAAATACCTTACAGTTTCAACAAGGAACGCTCTTCAATCGAAGATTTGGGAAGAGAATCCACTTTGCAGTGCTTGATCTGAAGTGAATTTCGCGTCAATACCGATGGTTATTTTATTCGATAGTGTATAACAAGCATATACATAAAACAGCCAAATAATCTTTTATTCCTTAGAAACTTCGGCGCTTAACAACTTTCGTTTATCTGCCTTCTCACAGTAGACTGAACATAATCCTACCAAAAATGGCTCACCATTTTAGCTGCAGGTTAATGTTCTAAACAGCTAGATGTTATTTACGATCAATTGTAAAGTTTTTATTCACAATTAACATTCAAAACTTGTGGCCAAGGTAATGTATCTTATGAGCCTTAACGTGCATCACACATAGACTCTGTCAGTACGCAGAGGATGTTTGTACACACCAGAGTACTTGGCTAAAGCTCCAGCAGCGGCAAATGCTGTTGCAAGACCACAGCCCAACCCCCAACTGCTCTCTGTACATAAAAAGAAACAACAAATGATGTTGCCTCTGCCTGATGGTAAAATTGTGAACCTGAGAGGGCCCAATGGATTTTGTTAAAATATTCCTCATTTCAAACTCACAACCAAAGCATTAGAACAGTAGCAGAGCAACTATCATGTCTTTTTAGACAGAAAAACTTCTCAAAAGCCCTATAGTAACATGTCATCACATAAATGGTAGATAAAAAAGATAATAATTAGAGAAACTTACTGCTAAATCCAATCAGAACTCCACTTGCAGCACCTCCCAAGGCCCAGTTAAAATGGTCATCTTTTTCTCTCATTGAAGCTGCTGTGCATGTTGTTAAAGCAAACAAACTTGCTGCACCACCTAAAATATCATGACAAGTGAGGCTCTTCACCATAATTATAAACTAATCATTTTTGACAACCAAAAATAGCCACTGGATCCTTAAGAATCTTCACAGGCCATTTTTTTAAATTAAAGGATAAGACCCTCTGTTCATTAACTAACCAGCAACTGAAGTTCAAAATTTAGTAAAGAACTATGTAATAAAATCACAAACCAACAAGGATTGAGTTATTCTTCATCAAAATAAAGGACTGCAGGATAAGTGGAGTGGGATGAGGATCTGGGATTCTCAGCGCAGACCAAGCAGCACCATAGATACCTCCTGAAATGTTAAATAAAATCGATCAAGGTCATGGAAATGAGAGCAAAGTTTGCATATTGACATAGCAACATAGACAAGCAATGATATGAAAGCTTCAACAAACCTGCTCTAGTCAAACTTTAAAATAGCCTGCCTGTATAAATACATAACATGTCTAACCAAACTTTTACTGAAGTAAGAGTGATTTAAATTTTCAGAAGAGAATCTTGAACCATTTTAGGTAAAAATCAAAATGGAAGTACCTAACATAATGAATTAAGTAATTATAAATACTAGAATTACAAAAAAAAAATTTTAAAAAGTTCAAATGAGGCCTTAATTACTGTAAAATTGATGTGAAAATCTTTAAAAATTCCAAGCTTTGGCACATCCTCAAAATCATCAAGGATGAATTAAAGTTCCTATATTGTACAGAATTTGGCTTCTGTCCTTGTGTTTCCTGATGCTTTCTTCTCATGTTTCCTGATGCTCTTTGTTTCCTATTCTTGTATAGTTTTTTTTGGACACCTATTGCAATTTAAAATGGCATGAAGTCACTGTGTAATGAATTCTGTGTTGAGATTATATTTTCCTCTCATTGAACCCAATGAATCCATGCCTGCCCAGGCCATCTCTGTAAACTCTCCTGTATTTAACTGACCTAGGTCTCTTACATGAGGTTCAATCAATCAGAAAAATTGAGAAAGATTGGAATGCCAGAGAGAGAACCAAAGTCAAAAGGGTCTATTTGCTGAATATGAAAGCCCCGTTACATTGTACATTTTCATTTGCTTATGACTTCCCAACCTCATCCTGGTCATGGTCACCATAGAGAGTTTAAAAGCTGACATTTCAAGTGTATGCCCTTTTGACGAAAGGCTAACTTTTAAAACTTCAGCTTTTAAACTCTATACAGTAGCTAAATTACCCTAAATTATCCTGTTACACTCTCCCACTGAAGCTGCAACAGTTTCTTGAAAGACTTAGCCCTTAATTCATTTCTCTTTGAATGGGTTTGTTAGTGATGGGTTGCATTGGGTGATGGGTAACAAAATCAATACATAGGAATGACGATCGCTTTCCATATTATAACAATGATAACAATTACAGCTACAACAACAAAAACAACAATAACAATAATAATAGTGATGATAATAATAATAATAATAATAATAATAATAATAGCAATAACGATAATAATAATACTAAGACATTATGGTAAACAAAGAAATGGGTTAACAAATCACTGTGTAGGTCAAAGTCTCATTGACTAGCTATTCTATGTTCTACCAACTTTGTACACTTCAAACATACTTATTTTCAAATAGATTACATTTATTTGAAGAAAGGGAACATACTCGCTCGACACAGATTAAAGAAGAACTTCCTGGGATTCACATAAAGTGTGCCAAAGTCTTCCACCGTTCGAGTTTCTGGAGTGAAGCCTGATTACTTGGAACCACAATAACATTTACAAACTCAGTGCACTTACCTACAAACGCTCCTCTTGCTCCAAAACTAATAGCTCTACTCACACAGTTATGTCCATCGAGTTCGTCCATCCATGGTTCGTCAAATTTGGGGGTGGTGGGCATTTTTAAATAACAATCCAAGGTTTGCAACCAAACTGCACTAATATACGATACTACGGTCTTCGTGGCTGGGCGAAAGCCTGGTCCCTAGGCGATCTTGGTAACCTGGCCTAGTAGATATAACGAAAACAATATTTTGAACAATATATTGGGTACCAGTATCAACAGATGGTATTTAAAAACATTTAGCGACATGGAAAACAAAGCTCAGCCTACAGATGAGTGTAGATTCTCTGTGGAACTAACAGGTGACGACTCATCGCCTGATCTAGAACCATTTAAACCAGAGAAGCCCCGTCTGGCTTGGCTCATAGTGGACTTCACTTGTTTGCTAGTTGTTGGGTTGGTTTGTCTTTTATTCAAACTAGTTGCCGTTCCATATCACAGAGGGTTTTATTGTGATGATGATAGTATTAACAAGCCATACAAAGAAAGTACTGTCCCATCTTCGGTGCTCTATTCCGTTGGCTTTGCTCTTGCTTATCTGGTGATCTGTGTCACAGAGCTGTGTAGCCAGCGACGACATAAAAGATCTTCAGAATCCAGTGAATATGTCCCCTTTAAATGGCTGAAGCTCAAGCCGAACCATATTAATCTAATCAACCTCTTGGTTTCTTTTGCCTTTGGAGGGCTTGTCACTATTTTTGTCACTGATATCGGAAAATACACAGTCGGACGATTAAGACCTCATTTTCTGTCAATCTGCCAAGCTCCATCTTCTGTATTTTTGAACTGCAGTCACACATACATCACGGACGATGTGTGCACAGGTGACCCAGGTTTGCTTAGAGAAGGACGCTTGTCATTTCCATCAGGCCACGCTTCATTCTCAGGTAATAATTCCATTTGCCTTTAGTGGTCAAATTTAATCAGCTGAAGGTCAAATGTGATGAACTGTAAGAATAAGCAGTGGTATATGAAAAAGTTCTCTTCATCAACACTGCACAGCAACCAATAATACCTAACACCATAAGCTACATTCCAATCCAAAATCAAAGGCATAGTTTTATATCAATTTTTTTTCTTTTGTTTGCGTTGGAAGTTTCTATCTGAAAACCAACCATGTCAATCTGCTTTGTTGCACCCAGCTGCACTTGTATGAAGAGTCCCTGACAGAAAGGATTGTGCTATCGTTCTAAACTTGGCTTTTTTTTCTCATATTTGCAGCATATGCCGTGACATTTACAATTCTATATATGGAAATCATGATCAATTTCCCCCATAGCAGGTTTCTAAAGTTTTCCCTCCAGCTGTTGATTGCTCAGTTGGGTGTTCTGTGTGGGCTGTCCCGCATTAGTGACTACAAGCATCACTGGAGTGATGTCCTTACTGGCTTGTTGTTGGGTTCCCTGATTGCAGTATTGATGATAGATCGTGTCTTGGGGATGTTTCACAAAGGCAAAGGCACAAGCAAACATGACAGCCAAGGCTGAGGAAATTTGATGTAATTAGATAAGAAGGACAAGGCTATTGAGCACAAAAGAAGGCATTATATGTACTTCATAATAAAAGAATTGCTGCCAAAATTATAGATATCTATATATCAAACGAAGCATGACTAAATTTAATACTCAAGTGAAAGTTTGGCTTGCCCTATAGGAAATTTGTGGTAAATTTTATCATCAAAATGTAACTTATAAAACTGTTACTATGCCAATCAAAAATGTAGAAACATTAATTTCCAAGATGATATTCTTATGTGTGGAAGGCTCATCTGAAACTTGTGAAGGGATTTGTAGCAGGGTGTGCAAAGGATGGCAAATACAAAGGTATTTTAGACATGCATTTTATTCATATACTCCAGGATATGATGTTACATTGAATACCTCATAACATATTTTGTTATAATTATTTAACTAGCCACCAGGTACTTTGAATTTTTCATGGCATTTCTCAAAATCATCTTCAGAGACATATCTCATGACACAATAGAGGGCAAACCGATCGTATGAACCCAGCTGGTAGCGGGAGGTTGTTGAAGGCATGTATTCATTTCAATATCTGCCTTCAGTTTGGCTGATCAGCTTACGGTTCAGCTCATCGATTCTGTCTGCATTGATTAACTTGTGTTTTGATGGATACTTTCTGCTAAATGTGGAATCAAACTTCCAAACGGGATGTGCAAATTCTACGAGAGAGAACAAAAAATAACTATTACAAATGGAATTCCTTACAGCAGCACAAATAGAGGGCGTGTAGTACAATATTAACATAGTAAAATCCACTTAATATTTATTAAGCTTTTGGTGAATTGTGAGAAAACTTTGTGGAGGATTCATGCCACTGATAGGAGTTTGATCAAATAAAGTCTGAGATTGAAGCTGTCTTCAAATTATGCTCAAAATATGACTTGGTGGTATAAACTGGTAAAATATTGAACTAAGTTAGAGATTTGAAGCATCAATATCAGCTCCTCAGAAATTTGCCCATGAAATTAAATTCTAACTGCTCTGTCTTTGTCATTTCCTTGTGTATACAGACAATTCTCGTTGAAAGCTCTCCCTCTGACACGTTAAATACCTGTCACAAGAACCAAGTCAAGATAATATTGGTCATAGTCAACAAGAGCACGTTCTCTTGTGTCCAAAGACATCACTCTGAATGTTGGATTGTTAGAGTAGACAGGTGATACTGAGGCAACTTGTAGAACAAAGGATTTGGTGGAAGTTTTTTCTGCTTCATCACTTGCAGTGTTCATTATTTGAAGATGGAAGTCGTTTCTATGAGTATGACCATAGAACTGGCCTTATGATAAGGATAAAAAAAAGTAGTGATGAAAGGAGAGCAACTCAATATGAATAAAAGTACCAAAAAAATTAAAACAAATGCAAAACATAAAAAAATGGAACCAAAAATCATGGCAAATGGAACTTCTTTTTAAGGGGAATTTCCGTAAACCATTGCGAAATGGAATGTAATAAATAGTTATCTATCATTTGTACTAAATCGTCAAACATCGTCACTTGTTACTACATTGACTTATTGGTATCAAACTCCTTATCATACAGATATCATGCATCAAATCATATCCAAGATTATTTTTCAAAAGTTGCTCTCTGACGTAAAGCGGAAACATACAAAAAAGCAAAAACTTCTAAAAATAAAAAGCTTCAACAAATGCGTGGGGAAATAAACAAATCCCAAAAAATCTGAACCTATCTAGTTTCGGGGCGTTCTATTTAGTTTCTTTCAATCAATTATCTACCATATTATTATAATTTCCCTCATTCAATGCCCATAACTTTGCTGAATACGAGTGTTACCTGCCACTACATCATGGAATTGTCCGGCTGTCAGACTCGCATAAGGTATTAAATATTGTTTATGCCAGAAGTAGGAACCATCATGTGGGTCGCCTCTGAGACAATTAAAAGAAACGTTTTTAGTTTGTTAATTTGATCTAAAAGGTGGCTCTGATAAAGAAAGTTATGGTAACAAAAATTACCCAGGTGGGATGTGGCTCATGATAAGGACTCTTTTCTTTTGGTCTTTGGCGAGTTGAAGTTGGTCTTTGAACCACTGCATTTGAGTTTCAGCAATTTGTTTAACAAGGTCATTCGTGTACCAGTTGTTATTCCAGTACATGGTATTCAGCACAAGTAAAATCATTTTTCCACCTGTAATTCAATGGTACATATGTCAAGTGACATCATGATATGTAAGCGTTTGAACCCAATTGTTCTTGTCAGTCAGTATCGAAAATTTTTCTTTTCACGTGGGATTCGGAACCATATCTGGTTTGGATTCCGTTTTGTTTCTTTTAATTTTCTTCCAATGATGTTTTTCCAGACTGCTCAAGTCTTTTCTAGATACCCATCCCTCTTTTACTATGCTTTGTTTACAGAAATGCCAGCAAGGATCTCACCTGCAATGTTGACTTTATAGTAACCGCCCTCTAGAAATGTTTTTGCCAATTCCTCCATTGTTGTAGGCTTTTCCACGCTCCTGGGACAATGTGAGCACAAAATGAGTGGGGCCCAGTAAGACAAGACTGTTTTGTACCAATCGCTATTGTTTGGTAGAATATAATGTCCAGGGAGGTCATTGTTGCCAATTGCAAGAAAAATTGGAATGTCTGGAAACACTTTATGGGCTTCACTTGCCACCATGGACATGGCTTTTAAGACTTTTGGTGAACCATGATCATCTGTTAGACCATGGGCAGACGAATCTCCTACGGAAAGAAAATAAGCAATCTTCATGCAATCTAAATATAATTAACATGAAGAAGCTGAAAAGTGGGCAAGAATAGAAGAGCCATTGAATAGAAGAGTGCTTCTTGAGGGAGATGTTCAACAGATTGACAATTTACAAAAACATGTTAGCTTCATACCAGAGAGCATCATAAACTCAGCACTTTGTCCTTCCTCCTTCATTCCTAATAGAGCAATTTTCCACAGAGCTAACGGTGAGTCACAACCGATCCTACCATAAGGTGCCTCATAATCTGCTGTTAAGCCAGATCCCTGGCAATACGTGCTCACATCCGCAGCCTTATTGTAGAATGGATCAAGATGGACATCAGACACGTGAAAGAACTTCAGAGACCCTACTGGCAACACAGTCAAGGCAGAAATCAGCAGGACTACAGCTGAGGGACCAGCAGTCATTACAAATTAACTCCTATAATTTGAAAAAATAGATGTTTAGAGTAATAGTTAGATAGACTATTAGATAGATGTATAGATAAATAGATTGTCGGATAGACATATAGATTATTGGATAGATAGATAGATAGATAGATAAATCCATAGATGGATAGATAGAACACGTTGATGGATAGATAAACAGATAGACAACTAAATAGATTATTAGGTCTATAGATAGATAGATAGATGGACAGACAGACAGACAGATTGTTAGATAGAGAGCTAGAAATATAGAGATAGATAGATGTATGTATGGATGGAGAGATAGATTATTAAGTAAATAGATCATTAGATAGATAGAAAATTAGATAAATACATAAATAGGAAAATGATCCATTGAAGTTTCAAAATTACAGCTCTAGGGCTGAATTAGATAAAACTTTACGAGGATTAAAAAATTATCCACAAAAATTACTAAGTAAATGCATCTACATACAATTTCTGTGAAAAAAAGCTGTTCTTGAATCTGTCCATTTTGCAAATAGAGACGTGATATCTACGACTATTTCTCAGACAGTATTCTTTGCACTTAGTGGATGGTAAACAGTTTTTTGTACAAAACAGTTGTAGCCCCTGTGGAGTTGCATAGGTCGTAATTTGATCCACGAGAATTCCAAATACTAAGGGTCTTTCATCTAGAATGGTGAATTTGATGTTGTTCCTGATAGATAATGGTAACTGAACTGAGTGGAGTTAAATTTGGTCTGAAAGCATACGAGCGATTTCAAAATCGAACGAGCGCACAGCGCACTTTATAAGTTAACTGAAGAAATGATGACCATGTAACTGATGAAAGGAAGATTCCTACCTCTAAGTTTCTTGAATTACTGATAAAGTTCGCCGTACAAATCTCCGGGCTAAATTGAATGGCGAAGTTCCTCTGGTCTCTAAATAATGGTGAGCGCGCTAAGTTAACCTGCGCCATCATACGTACTCACATGTAATTGGTTCCTGTACGACTTAATTCAGGGTAAATTTCAAACGCAACAGCTGCGTTTAAATTGGACAATTTCAATACAAAAAGATATTATTCGTGCGTGATTCAATTTTCTTTCAAAGGAACTTAAACTTGTTTAAATATCAGTTTGAATCTTTTATCAGATGTTTAACATGGAAAAGTCTTGGTGATGTTTTTGGTTCCCCAGTTATTTCGGCGTAATGAAGAATTCAAAACATTTTATCAGAGTGGAAACGAAACAATTTTTCGGTTTATTACTGGGCCCCATGGAAACAGAAAAGGAATAAAATCATCCTGATGTTAATTTAAAAAAGCAAGTCAAGTTTTTTTAAATTTTTTATTTTTTGTCAGGGCACTTAACACATAGTAGTTTACAAATATTCTCCAAAGTGGAAGTGAATTGTACTCGCTATTCACTTCCGAACTAACCAATCAGCGTTCACGAAAAGCACTATTCTCTTGTGTGGTAAATACTAACATCGTTTAATTCTACAAAAATTGCACAATTATATTACTTGCTTTTTGCTTTTTTTTTTTTTGTATCTTACATATCGGATGCTTTTCTAAACTCCTTTGAAAACATTTCGGGGCTATAAACTGATGGATAATTTCTAAGCTTTGAGATAATTACAAAACTGATTATCTTGTGCACGAAATGATAGTTACTGCTAGAAA